TGAGCTTGTTGCAGGTTGCCAATGCTTTGGGAGTATACAAAAAGACTGAAGGCATTTCCCGAGGAGTTGTGCCCACCATACTAAGTAGGGACGGTGAGTGAGTCCTTGTGCAGCCTTCCTGTGGACTGAAAAGACTAGCTTCTGCTCTCTCTCTCTTCCTCTTTCTCTCTGTTATCATTTTTGGTAGCGTGATTAACACCTCACTTGGGTGACTGTCTAGCTGTTTGATCTCAGAGGAGCAGCAGAAGATGAAATGGTTCAGCCAGGGAAATGTGTAGGAGTGTGGGATTTCTGAAACACCTTTGTGTCTAGCCACAGAGCTGCCCAAGAGAGTGGAAATGTGAGTCACACTGGAATTTGCTTCCATTCAATGGGCCCTGGCTTGTCAGGCCCTGGGTAAGCTGGCTGCCTGCCAGTAAGCCTGTATTGGCTGGGCCTTCCAAATCTCCTCTTGTGTTCTTTAAAGACATAGCTCAGAGGGATTTGCTGGGGCTTGTACCTCCCTACTCTAGGCCTCCTGGCAGAGACTGGAGTTTTGTATTTCTCTGGGTGGGCAGCACTTTGGCTAGCATTTCTCCTCTGCCTCCTGGGAAAGGGGAAGGGTTGGATCTGGAGACCTCAAGGTTGCCATCGGCTGTAGGCTCCCTCATTCTGTATGTCCTTGGCCTGCAAACAAGGCCTACTGAAGAGTGTACTAGTATTTTTTGCCCTTGTTTCATCCCTAGATTAGAAGTTTTGCATCCCATTTTTATTCTCTTAATAGTAACTTTTATGGTATTAACTCTTACATTTGACTTAACAAGGCAAATTTCTAATTCATTCACAAATAAGTATTGAGTTACTTACTATGTACCAGGCCCTTGACCAGGTGCTAGAGAGACAGCCAAAACCAGTATCTCTGCCACGAGGACAGTAAGTTGGAATCCTTTTACTGCAGTCACACCTTTAAGAGTGTCTATTTTTAGTTAGATGTAAGAATCCATTTTTGAGATCTGTTACACAGCATCGTGAATAATGAAGTGTTTATTTCAAAATTGTTCAGAGTAAATTTTAATTAGTCACTTACTTTCCCCATAGGTATGTAAGATAATGGATATGTTAATTAGCTTGATATATTCATTCCATAATGGAAAATAAATTCAAAATAGCTTTAAAAATAATTTTAAGTTGAGCACTGGTGTCTGTAATCCTAGCTACTCAGGAGGTTGAGAGCTAAGGATTGAGAGTCAAAGCCAACCTAGGCAGAAAAGTCTGTGAGACTCTTCCCTCCAATTAACCAATACAATCCAAAAACAGAGCTGTGGCTTAAGTGATAGGGTACTATCCTTGGGTGAAAAAGCTAAGGGGTAGTGTTGAGGCCCTAAGATCAAGCCCGAGGACTGGCACATATCCTCGTCCCCTCCCCCCGCCAGATGAACATTTTTATTTTTTTTATTTTTATTTTATTTTTTTGTCGGTAGTGGGGCTTGAACAGATGAAAATTTTTAAAAGATGAATAACAATATGTTGGGAGGAAAGAGACCTCAGGGTTTTGTGGATCTGAGCTGTGATCAGCATTTTGGCTTAGTAGCTCTGCTGGTCCTTGGTGGCTCACGCTCTCTTCCTTTTTTTACCACTAGGGCTATTAGGGAGATTTTTTATTCTCAATATCTTTATGAGACCAAAGCAGCTTTTCCCAGAAAACTTTACCCTCTCTCCTACCACAGATTTCTCACTAACTTGTCAAAATTGCAAGGAGATAGACCAATTAGGATCTCCATTTTAGAACTAAAATAAGACACAGATGTAGTGGGCATAGCCATAAAAATCTATCCATGACACAAAGATGGAATAAATGAGAAGTTGTATAACTGTATCAAAATTCAGAATATTTTCGCAGCCTGGAAATATGGGTGAATATGCACAAAGTAAAATTTAAGAGAAATAACGTTTTGTACTTAGGCTTAAAAACATTAATTCCATATGTTCAAAACTGGGGACATCTGTCTGCACAAAAGTTTGTATATGTATAAATTTTGGGTTTTGATCCATACACTATTAACCCAACAGTATGACTGAATTGCCACAAGAAAATCTTATAGTGAATAATGGAAGGAGATTTCCTGACCATGGAGAAAATTACCTCTTTGGACTTGACTCTAACCAGACCCTACATGTAGAATGATGTGTTCACTTTGACAAGTTACAAACCGGGAGGTCACATATATTTGTCATCAAGTGCAACCCAGAGTGAAGGATCTGAAAGTCATCCTGTGATAAAATGGTCACAGGGAGCTGGAGAAGGAAGCAAATGATTTTGGAGTATTTGAGGTTATCAAGTAGAGGAGGGACTCACATTATTCAGTACTGCTTCAGCAAGCATGTGTGGGGTTGGGGGGTTATAACCTGGCACACAGTGGACTCACTACCAGAAACATCTTCCAGTGGGCCCGAAGGACTGCCATGAGGACACATGCTGCTTTTCCACCCATACACTCCCTGTGGTGAAGGTGCTTGGACAGAGATGGCAGATCTGCCATCTCTGGGTGTGGGCCTGTCCTGCAGTTATGTCAAGGACATTGAGGCACCAGAGTTCTTGTTGGTCTGGCTTGCAGATAGCAGCCTTTGCTTTCTTTCTGGCATCTTCTGTTTGTGAAGATCAAAAACAGGTGGGGAAAGCAATCTGTGGGAGTTTTTGGCAGACAAAAGTAGATGAAAAGTTTGAAAGAAACATCAGTCTATGGGATTTTGTGTTAAAATATGTTAACCTTGAGTTTTACCCTTGATCCTGAGCTAGTTCCAGAGAGCAGCGGTCTGTACCTCAAAGACTGTGATGTCTGTAGGCCAAGATGTCCAACATCTTCCTTGTCCCCCCTCACCAAGTCTGATGAGAGAAATAACAATGTTTGTGTACAAATTTTACTAATTAAACCCTGTTCAGGGGACTCTGAATAGTTTTTACAATAATCTTAATATCAAATTTTAACCAGTTGTCATGGGGTTAAAGTGCAGATTTTGATTCACTAACCCAGAAGTAGTCTAGCACTTTAGTAAGCTCCTAGGTTTTGCTGGTACAGAATCTTCCCTGAGTGTGTAAAGCTCAGTCTATAAAGAGTTTCTTACAGAATGTAATGGAGTCCACTGTCCCTACCTGCTTGTTTGTCCCTACCTGCACATTTGGGCTGGGGTGTAGCTTACTGATAGAGTGCTTGCCTAGAATGCATGAGACCCTAGGCTCAATTCTCAGCATCGCAAACCAACCAACCAACAAAAAAGCATAGTTCTTGGCATGCCTCTGACCTCTAATTCTAGAATTTCTACTGGTGGAGCTTAGAGCTCAGCCTCCTGATGCAGTTAACATCACAGGTATGAGTTGCCAGTGCCTGGCAAGAAATTGGCTTAAATTTTTATTATTATTATAAAGTTGATGTACTGAGGGGTTAGTTATATAAGTTAGGCAAAGAGTACATTTCTTTCTTTCTTTTTTGTTGGTTGTGGGGATTGAACTCTGGGCCTGGGTGTGGTCTCTGAGCTCTTCAGCTCAAGGCTAGGGTCTACTACTTGAGCCACAGAGCCACTGCTGGTTTTCTGGTGATCAATTCTAGATAAGAGTCTCATGGACTTTCCTTCCTAGGCTGGCTTTGAATTGCAATTCTCAGATCTCAGCCTCCTAAGTAACTAGGATTACAGGTGTGAGCCACTGGTGCCTGGCTTACATTTCTTTTCCTTCCTTCCTTCCTTCTTTCCTTCCTTCCTTCCTTCCTTCCTTCCTTCCTTCCTTCCTTCCTCCCTCCCTCTCCCTCCTTCTCCCTCTCCCTCTCCCTCTCTTCCTCCCTCCCCCCCTCTCTCTTCCTTCTTTCTTTTCTTTTTTTTTATTGCCAGTTCTAGGGTTTGAACTCAAGGCCTGGGCATTGTTCCTGAGCTTCTTTTTGCTCAAGGCTAGTATTCTACCACTTGAGCCACAGCACCACTTCTAGCTTTTTCTGAGGAATCTAACCCAGGGCTTCCTGAATGCTAGGCAAGCACTCTACCACTAAGTAACATTGCCAGTCCTGGGGCTTGAACTCAGGGCCTGGGCACTGTCCCTGAGCTTCTTTTGCTCAAGGCTAGCAAAGAATACATTTTTTTTGGATAAAGTCACCCTTCCTTCACTTTCTCTCAGTTTTTCCCTCCTGTCTCTACCCACAGGTTATATAGTTCATTGCCAACATAGTGTTTAGTGAGTATCATTGCTGCATTTGTCCACCCTTTGTGTTCCTCCATTTCTGTGCCCCTACTTACCCTCCCTAGGAGAAATTGGCTTTTTGACCTGGTATTTCACGTGATTACTAAGCACATTAAAGGTTTTGAAATGGATAGGGGATTGTGTTAGTCAGCTTTCCAGTACTTGTGTAGTGAGATAAATGCCTGAGATAAACAAAGCTGAGGATGTAGCTCACTTGCCCAGCATGCACAAGGCCTTGGGTTTGCTTCCCAGTGCTGGAAAAGGGAACCAAGGTAAGGTTATTTTTGTTCCATTTTGAAGGTTTCAGCTCTGGGATCTCAGGTGAGGCAGTACCTTGTGGTGGAAGCTTGTGGTAGAGAAGAACTTCTCCCATGGCAGCTGACCTGTAAAAGAGAGAAAGAGGAAGAGACCAGAGTCCCACAGTCTTCTCTGGAGAGCCCGAAACCTCCATGCTCTACTCCTAAGAGTTTCCCATCCTCCCAGTAGTGCTGGGGACCAAACCTGTAACACACAGGCCCTTGGGAGACTTCACAGATCCAAGCCAAGCAAGGGTTTAAACTGGATGGAAGAAATCATTTAAGAAGACACAGTAGATCACACACACACGTGTTATAGAGCAGAAGGCACTCAATAGATAGCTTGCATAGAGAAGACTAGCCAGAAATTTCCAGACTGGCTGGGAAGCCTGGGACACAGAACTGAACTCTGCTATGCTTTAGTTTCCCCTTTTGCAAAGGGGAGATCATATGATCTGATGAGTCTTTTTCTGTCCCTTGATCTCTCCTTGTTTCTGCAGTCATCCAGCATGCTCTGCCCACCCCATGCTGAGGGGCACTGACCATGAGTCTCAACTCCTCCCTCGGCCACAAGAAGGAGCTGAGCAATCTCACTGAGGATGAGAGTGATGAAGGAAACATCATTGTCACTGAGTTTATTGCCATCATCATCATCACTGTGTTTGTCTGCCTGGGCAACCTGGTCATCGTGGTCACCTTGTACAAGAAGTCCTACCTTCTCACCCTCAGCAACAAGTTTGTCTTTAGCCTGACCCTGTCCAACTTCCTCTTGTCTGTGTTGGTGCTGCCATTTGTGGTGACCAGCTCCATCCGGAGGGAATGGATCTTTGGAGTGGTCTGGTGCAACTTTTCAGCTCTCCTCTACCTGCTGATCAGCTCGGCCAGCATGCTCACCCTTGGCGTCATTGCCATCGATCGGTAAGCTTGTCTCAGACAATTGAATGGTTACAGAATGAGAGATCTTTGGGTCAGCCGTACTCAGAATGCCTTGGTTCCTTGGGAAAGTGCCAGAAGCCTCTTGAGGAGAGTGAGGAAACTGAGTTCTGCCTCCCTTTCTATCTGTTTAACTAGAGTTACTCCTAGTTTTGTTTGTCTATAGTGTGAATATAGATCATGCCACATAGCAACAATCTGATTGATGATGGACCACATATATGATGGTAGAGGTCATATTGTCTAGGAAGAGAAGATTTTACCACCGAAGGTGTCTGGCAGTACACTGTAATATTTGTGAAACAAAATCACCAAAGGGTGCATTTCATAGAATGTGTCTGCTAAGTGATTCATGACTGTAATTATCTAATTATTTATTTAACAATTTATTATGGTACTGGTACTTGGGCTTGAACTCTGGGCCTGTCTCATTTGGCTTTTCCACTCAAGGCTAGTGCTCTACCACTTGAGACACAGCTCTGCTTCTGGCTTCTGCTAGTTAATCAGAGATAAAAGTATCATGGACTTTCCTATCAGGGCTTCAAACCTTGATCCTCAGATCTCAGCCTCCTGAGTAGCTAGGATCACAGGTGTGAGCCACCAGCACCAGGCTGAAAACATATATTTTTGTAGTCTTGTGGCATTCTGTTCTGTGGAGAGATTGTGTATTATTTTTTAGTCCCTATTACTAGATGTGGTGGTTTCACACAGCTTGCTACTCTGAGGAGCACCTTCATTTGTGAATTGCTACATTTTTATTAAGAATAAGATCAAGATTCTTGTGTAGAAAGGGCAAGTTGCCCTTCCAAAAGTCATACAGATATTCCTTGAGCAGCCATGAGTTGATGGCTATCAGGATGAACTCTATAACATTGCAACAAGAATGTGGAAGTTGGGTGGCAATGGAGAGGAATGGAATCTCTTCCTTTTACTTTCCATGTTAGTCAGACTTTTGGTACTGTGACAGAATGCTTGACATAAGCCACCTAGAAGGAGGAGTTATTTTGTTTGGCTTACAGTTTCAGTGGGTTCTGTCCACAGTCCTGGGTTTGCTGTTTACTCTGGCCCATGGTAAGGAAGATCATGGTGATGGAGCACAAGTGAGACGCTCTTCACCTGATGGTGGTCAGGAAGCAGAGGAAAAGAAGGGACGGGGGACTTGATAACCTTTAGAGGTATACCCCAGTGATCTACTCCCTCCACACAAGCCTTCCCTACTGATGTTTCTACCACATCCCAGATAGCACCACGAGCTGGGGACCAACAACCACTGAGCCTGTGGAGGACATTTTATGTCAAAACTGAAACGTTAGTTTTTTTTTTTGTTGATGTTTTTGGTGTGTGTGTGTGTGTGTGTGTGTGTGTGTGTGTGTGTGTGTGTGTATGTTTTCAGAGTCTGGAATTTGAACTCAGAATCTAACACTTTTGCTCATTGGCTGGTCCTCTACCACCGGAACTATGGCTACAGCCCCAAACATTTCCTATTTTTAAAAATATTTATATTTTGGCCAGACAGCTGACTCACACCTGTCAGCTACTCAGGGGGTAGGCAGTAAGTCCATAGCCTACTTCCTGGGTAGCTAGGATTCACTTAGCTTAGGCTTTTTTCCATCTTAGTACAGTGGATTTTGGGCCATGGAACTCTGTGTGATGTGCTATGCTGTCACAGAAAGATACGGTAGCTTCCTGGCCTCTATTCACTTGATGCTAGTAACACCTCCCTAGTTAAGGAGTGCAGAATGTCTTTAGACAGTGTTACGTGGACCCAGGGGACATAATTATTGTCAGCTGAGACTCCTAGTGGACAAAATCCTTCACAGCTGAGATTTGGCTCAGTGGCCCTGGGCAATACCCACCAACACCACAAAAAATAAATAAATAAAGTGTAAACTGGTTGGACAGCTGAGCCCAAAGAATCTATCTTCTAACTTCATAAAAAGAGAGCAAAGGTAGCCTATAAAGAGCATAGCTGACTGGAGTGAAATTCACCATTTAAATGTAAATGTCCTAAACTAGCCAAGTGGAAATCGACAGCTGGGAGAGTTCTCCTGTGAATAAGTCTGTTACTACTCATAAGTCTAAAATGTGTGATCCCCTCCAGCTGGAAAGTTACTAGAGTTCCAGATCCATTTAAAACACTTTTCATATTTTCATTCCACACTGTAGCAGATGAAACTCTGGTTCTAAAAATAGAATATAAAGCATAAAAGTAGCTAGAAAAACGGGATGGTTAGAGTGCTTTTCAGAGTCTTCAGGGTCAGTTCATGTGTTCGCCCTGAGGTAGCTATAGTGGGTGTAGTTTTTGTTTGTTCTGAGTGAAGACATCTTATAAAAAGCAAGGGTTGCTATCACAGAGGTTAGTGTGAGGCAGGAGAATTCAACATTGGCCGTCCCATGGTATGTTGGAGGTTTTTGGTAACACATGACATCCTGGAAGTCTTTTCTGGGTCCCAGGATCATGTGAGGGCTACTGTCCTAACCTGAGCAGCAAGTGGAAATATGGAGAGTCTGAGAAGGTAGCAAAGAGCTCAGAGAACAAGAGCAGCCCCATCTTTAGCTGCATTAACCCATAAGGAGGTGAGGGGTTGTTTTTTGTTTTGTTTTGTTTTTGTCAGTTATGGGAATTGAACTTAGGGCCTCAGCATTATTCCTGAGCTTTTTCCACTCAAGGCTAGTGCTTTACCACTTTGAGGCACAGCACTACTTCCAGTTTTCTTGTGGTTAATTGGAGATGAGCATCTCACAAACTTTTTTACCTTAGGCTGAGTTTGAACTGCTATCCTCAGATCTCAGCCTCCTGAGTAGCTAGGATTACAGCATGAGCTACCAGTGCCTGGCTTGAAGAGCTGTCTTTGTTCTGCATTTTTTTCTCTGAATTTGTAGCTAGTCCTAAATTAAACTTCAGTTTTAAAAAAAGGTTCTAGATCTATGCTTAACAACATCTAAACCCACATTTGGGGGGTAAGAAAATGTGGGAATATTCCTTGCTCTGATAGAGAGGTATATTTGTGCATTGCAATATCTATACATTTTATTTCTCCTCCAAAAAATAAAAGCAAAGTAACCCTGGATGTTGTGGCTACATATGGAGGCTTTCCTGACTCTCAGAGGCAGGCCTTAATGGAGCCAGCACCCAGTCTCCTGCCTGAGCCTCCTGGGGGATGCAGTGGGGGGAGAATTACTGGCAAGTCCCCTGAGCTTGCCGTGGCTTAAACCTTAGTCTTGGAGTGCCATAAGTACCATGCGTTACAATAAAAAGGTCTTGCTGTAAAGAGGTGATAATAAGTGGGTGCTGAGATGGCAGAAGGCAGAGAACAATGTGTTCATTGCAATTATTCTTACGACTGCCCGAACAGTTAGTCAAGGGAGCCAGGACAGTTAACATTCAGCAGGCCTGCTCCCAAACCCAGCTCTACACCTGTACACTAGCTAAAGGGATAGCAAAAAGTAGAAATCTTGGCCTTGTGTCATTTTCTTATCTTCTCTCTCTTTTTTGAGGGTAGTCAGAATTTAAATTCAGGGCTTTGAGCTTGCTAGGCAGGATGTTTACAACTTGAGCCATGATCTACTTTTTTATTAGTCTGTTTTTGTTTGTTTGGTTTTTTTTTAGATAAAGTCTTGCTAATTTTTGCCAGTATTGTCTTTGAACTGATCTTCCTATCTCTATCCTCCATGTAGCTGGAATTATAGGCATGCATTGCCACATTCGGTTTTACCTGTATCTTCTTAAAGTGAAGATTTTCCTAGAAGTGTCTTTCTTCCACCTTAGCAAACTCCACTCAGTTTCTTTCCAAGGTGTCTCACAGGTCAAAATCTCAGCCGGTCACACATCAAGGGAAAGGAAGCCAGTATAGTGGCTTGATTTATGCCTCATGGATCGTGAAGCTTGGCAGGCATATGAGCACTCTATGGATTTTATCCCTAAGGAGGAAGGGGACAGATACAGGCAGACAGAGAAAAAGCTCTGCCCAACTGCCATTCAAGAGGAGGCATGAGCTAGGCCTTTTGAAATCCTGACTTCATGGAAGAAGGAACTGAAGCTCTGAGAAGTTAAATCAGCTGCCCAAGGTCACAGCTAGTAGGTAGCAGAGTCTCCATGTTGACTGGGTAATTTCTGCTTCCCACTCCCACTTCTTTACATGGTCTTTGTCAGGTACAGAGACAACAGTGTGAGAGTAAGCACTTTACCCAGGTCACTGTGCAGACTCCCTGTCATCCATACCATAATCACAGCAGGTGCCTCTTTTCCAACTCCTAATACTCTCTGTACAGATCTAGGCCTGAACTTGAGTCTTGAGATCAAGACTAACCCAACCTCAACCCTGGTTAGGAGCCTCCAGTGGGCAGGTAGCAGTTCAGCCTGGTGTCCAGGGTGATTCAGGAAGGTCCCTGTGGAGAAAGTGGCCTCAGAGCGTGAAGTATAGCCCAGTCACTTTCTAACATCTGCCTGTACCAGGGGCAGAGTAGCCACACCTCTGACAGGTTGCCTCATGAGAAAATCTAACTCCTGTAATCAGAATTCCCTGGGCGAGGAGGGTAGTGGGTCACCTCCAGCCCCATGTGCTAAGTCCTCCCATCCTTTCTAATAAGGATCAGTCCATAGCTCCACTTAAAAAAGGGCTGTGCCTACCCTGGCCCGTGGCTGTTTCCCAGGTTCTTCTTTGCCAGCCTGAGCCACTAGTACTGTTGCCTACTTCCTTGGTAATGGGAGGGATAGTGATTGGGATCTATACCTTGGCTTTCAGGCCCTGGAACTTTATGATATACAAGGAATTACTGGGCATGTGCTTTGGGGATCATAGAGCAAGATGCTGGGTTTTTGTTTTGTTCTTTCCACATATCTGGGGTAGGTTATTTGGCTTTGATCTGTTTTTGTGTTTTCACCTGTGAAATGAGGAGTTGCACAGGTTCAGTTGGGTCCTTCCCAGTCCCTATTCATCCTCAGTTGATGTGTCTGCCTTTTCTACATCATCCTATCTGTGTTGCCAGCACGTAGCACAGTGCTTGGCTTTCAAGGAAATGTCCACTGAGTGAGTAAAGCCCATAAGCCTTAGACATCATCAGGGTTCTTAGTAGTACCTCTGAAAAGTCCAGAAATAGCAGAACTGACTTGTCCTGATGCATGAACACCTAGGACCCCTGAAGCTGTACCCCCAAATGTGAGTGATCTCTGTTGTGCAAGCCTGGACATAGGACTGTTGGAATTCTCTGTCCTTGTTGCAATCTAACTGCTGTTCCATGGTGAAGACCCTTGGAGAGCTGTGAATGTATTTGGGAAGAGCTATGAGAAGTGGCCTCTTTTAGATTTCATTTCCCTTCCTCCCCGTCTCCACTCCCTCCTTCAGAGTCAGTTAGGAGAAATGCAGGAACCCTACTCAGGAAAGCAGGTCACCTGACCTGGTGTTCCCTTTTGATTTTTACTCCTCTCTCCTTCATTCTTTTTCTAGCTACTATGCTGTCCTGTACCCAATGGTGTACCCCATGAAGATCACAGGGAACCGGGCTGTGATGGCGCTTGTCTACATTTGGCTTCACTCCCTCATTGGCTGCCTGCCACCCCTATTTGGTTGGTCTTCAGTGGAGTTTGACAAATTCAAGTGGATGTGTGTGGCAGCCTGGCACCGGGAGCCTGGCTACACAGCCTTCTGGCAGATCTGGTGTGCTCTGTTCCCCTTTCTGGTCATGCTGGTGTGCTATGGCTTCATCTTTCGCGTGGCCAGGGTCAAGGCACGCAAGGTGCACTGTGGCACTGTGGTCATGGCGGAGGAGGATGCCCAGAGGACTGGGAGGAAGAACTCCAGTACCTCCACTTCCTCTTCTGGCAGTAGGAGGAATGCCTTTCAGGGCGTGGTCTACTCAGCCAACCAGTGCAAAGCTCTCATCACCATCCTGGTGGTCATTGGTGCCTTCATGGTCACCTGGGGCCCCTATATGGTTGTCATCACCTCTGAGGCGCTCTGGGGGAAGAACTATGTTTCCCCCACCCTGGAGACCTGGGCTACATGGCTGTCCTTTACCAGTGCCATCTGCCACCCTCTCATCTATGGACTCTGGAACAAGACAGTTCGCAAGGAACTCCTGGGCATGTGCTTTGGGGACCGGTATTACCGGGAACCGTTTGTGCAGCGACAGAGGACTTCCAGGCTCTTCAGCATTTCTAACAGGATCACAGGTAATTTGGGAACCATTAGAAAAGGGATACACACTCCAGGGCAGGTGTAGTTGGTCTTATCAGTTGCTCAAGCTGTGGCCTCAGGTGTAAAGTAGAGATAGCCTGCAGAACACAACAGGCTCCACTGTGATTCCCAAGCATCTTTCCATCACTCAGCACCTTTAGGGAGTGATGAAGAGGCCAGCAAACCAACCTGATATACATCCCAAAAGAATTTGGCAGCGAGCGTGATGATTCCTCAGCCAAGTCCCTGGTCTCACATGTATAATTACTTCTTTATTAGAGAAAGAATTGCTGAAGCATTGGGCCAGGATGCCTTTTCCTCTTGGAAAATGCTCTCCTTTTAGTATGTCCCCTTGTCAGCACTCCCTCCCCGCCTCAGCTACTCACCCAGCCTGTTCAAGCACAGCAACCTTGGGCCTTTTCTCTATTGATGTGTCACTGTTGTTTGCCCACAGCTGCTGCTCTATCCAACAGCTAATCCAGAGTCAGACCTATACAAGTTGATCTGGTCCTGGGCTATTTATCAGCTTTTAATTTTGACAGATTTGATTTGCAAGAAAGTTAGAAATACAACACAGAAAGCTTTCCTTTAGTATTAGCACTTTATTTATACAACCCTAGCACAAGATCAAACTAAGATCTGGGACAGGGTAGCAGGTTATCTACTGCTGAGCCCCCAGCCCGACCTAACACTGCTTTCTTTTTTTTTTTTTTCATATACACATATGTACTGGTACCAGGGCTTGGACTCAGGTCCTTATGCTATCACTTGGTTTACTTGGGTTTGTTGCTCACCGCTAGTGCTCTACCACTTGAGCCGCTCTTCTGGCCCAGTGTTTGCTGGTTAATTAAAGATGGACTTTTTAGGCTTTTCCTCCCCAGGCTGGCTTTGAATCACAATCCTCTAGATCTCAGCCTAATCTCAGAATTAGAAACATGAATGACTAGCACCTTGCTCTTGATACTCCTGGATATTTCTTGATACTTCTTTGTAGAAGTCTTGGCCAGGCCTTTTGTATAGCACTCCTTGATTCCTGTTCATGTGATGCTTTCTCATAATTCGAATGAATTTCTTTATTTTGGCAGAATACTCCTTAGTGTATCAGATCAGGGCAAGCACACGTGTCACTATGTCATTACTAGGTACCTTGCCTTTCACCTCCTGGTTCACATGTGACCTGTCACCTTTCTCTGTTCCTCTGTTCCTCCTCCTCTTACAACAGAGGAGACACTTTGAGATTATGAAAACATCTGATTCCTGTTCCAGCCTTAACTCGCTGTTGTTAGCATGCATTGGTAGATGTTTACACCAGTTCTAGGGTTGTTCTGAGGTGAGGTAGCTGGGATTCTTAGAGCCATGTCGGAGAGAGCCTCATCACCCTGTCAAGCCATCAGAAGATTTTGAGGACACCTCCTTCAGACTCACTTCGAACCTCTTGTTTAATGGCTTTGGGCAACACAGAAAACTGCCTGGTCAAGTTTTCCTCTTTTTGAGGAAACTTTCCCCTCAAAAGGGTAAGGGACATAATGACTCCTGATTCCCAGTGGCAGAGCTGACAGAAGGTTCTTTCCACATGTCCATGATACAGGGCAGCTTCACTAATTTTGTGGATTAATGAAGTGTTAGTTCTGGAGACAGGAAGTAAGCCTGAGACTTTATTTTGATCATAGGAGAACAAACAAATCTCTCCATACAGCGGTATTTAGAAGACTGAAGCACCCACCCTTGCCACTTGTAAGCTTACATTTCCAGACATGACTTGTTAGCCCAGAGGTACAGACAGTGCTTGCCTTTATTTCACCCTTTAACTTATTTGTTGGAATTTTATAAACATCACTCATCTTCTAGGCAAAAGTAAAAGATATTTTCTAGACTAGTGAAGTTAAAAATGAGGAAAGAAAAAAAATGAGAGAGCAAGGGAGGAGCGGGTAGATAGAACAAATTGGAACATCTTTCTTGGGGGCTTGGGTTTTCTAGGCAGATCACTTGTGGTTGTTCTGGAAAAGTTCCCGAGGCTGTGAGGGCAGTCAGCAAACACCAGCTGTGGTTAGATTGGCAAGCCCAAGCTACTGGCAGTCTCCTGCTCATTTAGGGGATGCTTTGGTGGTAAGATGATGGGTTCTGAGCCATTGGCCATCCCTAGGGATGGGAGCTGGGGAGTTCAGTGGCAAGCGGAGGCCAGCAGCATGAGTACGAATGGGGAATGAGGCAGAAGTTGGGACCTGTCCCAACTCCTCACCCTGTACTTCCATGCAGGAGTTCTGGCTGTTCCTGGTGGTGAGGGATAACCCTGGCTTCCACAACATCTTGGACTCTTTGTGTCAGCTGGGGCTGACCAGACCTTAGTGAATGCCCTGTAGGCAGGGTCCACTAGGCCACAGTCTTTCTCCTGGAGCCATCCCATTACCAGATTCCCATGAGGAGGCCTTACTTTGGAATTGAGATCTGAGTTACCTCAAGGTTGCCAGACAGTGCCACCTTATGGTGAACAAGTTATCCTGGACATTTTGGTCTAGTGCTGAAGGTCAGCTAAATGCTCATGTTTGGTCTTAGGATGTGAAACCACAAGCCCAAAGCTTACAGGGCTTCCTGACAGAAGGAAGAAGAGGCTTCAGGAAAGTAGGGAAGTAGTCTTCCATAGCCTGTCCACCACCACATGCAGACCCCAATGGCAGAGGATGGCATGGGCCTGTGGACAGAAAGCCTGTCCACATACCTCTCACCTGCAGCTGTTTCTGGGGACAGAGCCTCTTGTGTTACCTTCTAGGAAGGAGGACAGACTTCTTCATTTACTCAGAGGAAAGCATTCCAGCTATGTCTTCCTGAAAGGACAACCCTGGAGCTTTTGACTTTTCCTCTCCAGCTTTTCTAAGTTCCTTTCATGGTGGCCTTTGAGGGTTCTTCTGCCTCACCTGGGAATCATCCCCCATTCCTTTAATGGTTTTTACTAGCCACATGTTTCTGGACTGCTGCAAATGTGACCCCTGTATCCACTCTCCAGTCAGAAGTGCTGGGTAACAACACAGAGCAGAGAGATGGATCCCAGCTACCCTATCTCTAGGCCTTTCAGCTGCAGTGGTCTGGCACAAATGATTCCTCTTACTGGTGGAGCCCACAACATGCTTCTGGCTTTTGCCACAGCTTCAAGAAATGGTGTCCAAAACTTCCCGTGGCTGTCACCATCCCTGTAAGCAAGAGACAGCTCCTGCTGACCTCACTCCTCATGTCAGGCCTCCTGTGGAACATAGCCCTGTTTGTACAAAACCCCAGAGGAAAAGGCCAAGTGCATGTCTTTTGGTCCCAGCCCTGGAACCAGCAAAGGGGAAGCCAGAGGGACAATCCTTGTGGGATTCCCCAAAGCAATAAAGTTCTGAGGGAAATGTGTTGTGACTGCCCATCTCCTACCATCACCATTTCCTCCCTAGCTCCAAAGGAAAAAGGAGAGAGTATGTTCTATTGCCACAGACTCTCAGACACTGTAGGATACAATTAAAGAAGGGTTTCTATTTACAAGTGTATTACAGAATACAAGATCATCCTTTATGATAGGTCATTTTCTTCTGCTAATAACAAAATACTAGAGACTAGATGATTTAGAATGAATGAAAAATTTGTTTAGCTTACAAATCTGGAAGCTAGGAAGTTCTAGAGCATCGTATTGTCAATGGTGAAAGCCTTCATCTGAATCATGCAATGGTGGAAGCAGGAATGTCAAGAATATGGAAGGAGGAATGGCAAAAGAGGGCCAGAGTGGAAAGCAAGACTGGCCAAACTCTAACTTTTATACCAAGGCTGCTCTTGAGGTGACTAACACACTTCAGTCCTAAGGACATTGATTCATTTATAGGCCTTGCAACACTGTTGCCTTGAGGGTTAAGTTTCCAACAGAGGAGCTTTGAGAGACCCAACCATAGCAGTCATTAGTCTACTAGGCAGTAGATCTTCCTCTTAAGATCTGAGTTTGACTGTTTGCCTCTGTATTTTTAATTTCTGAAAGCTCTTTATGTCCATTATGTCCATATTTTTAAATAACTTCTAGATATTTTTAATAGATTCATTTTCTCTTTTACCTTTTTCTCTTTTTTCTCTCTTTTTTCTTGGCTGGTAGTAGGAGTTGAACTTAAGGACTTCTGCTCTTTTTTTTTTTGCCAGTCCTAGTGCTTGAACTCAGAGTTTAGGCAACTCTCCCTGAGCTTCTTTTGCTCAAGGCTAGCACTCTACCATTTGAGCCACATGGCCACTTCCAGCTTTTTCTGAGGTACTGAGGAATCAAACCCAGGGCTTCACGTATGCTAGGCCAACACTCTACCACTAAGCCACATTCCCAGCTCCTGGACTTCCACCACTCTTGATTTAGATTTTTTTTTCTACCATTTGAGTCACCCTTCCAATGTCCAGATTCATTATATTTCAATTGAGTGTCCTAAGAGGACACTCAGTTATATGTTGTTTTGTTCATTTTTACTCTCCATGTATTATCTCCTCTGAGATCCATTTTATTTTTTCCCCTCCGCTTTGTCTTTCATGCCAGCGCCTTACCTTAACCCTGGTAGCTCTTGTCTCTCTAGTTCTTCACCTTTAATGATGAGGCACTGGAGAACCATTGGGAAACCCAATGTGAGATGGGCCAGCAGGCTCCCTGACTGTAGGGTGGTCCAGGTAGGCTATTTCAAGGTTCTCTGGTGCTCAGTACCTGACATCATTCTCTAGGGCTGGCTGATTTTCCTGGGGGAGAATTCTCTCATCTCCCCGCTTTCCTTCTTCATTCCCCTTCATTCCTCCTTTTTTCTTTCTTTCTTTTCTTTTCTTTCTTCCTTCCTTTCTTTTTCTTTCCTTCTTCCTTTCTCTTTCCTATTTCTCTATTTTTCTCTCTTTCTTTTCTTTCTTTCACAGTACTGGGGTTTGAACTTAGAGCCTTTGTCTTGCTAGAGAAGTGTTCTATCACTTGAGCAATACCCCCAACTCTTTTGCTCCTAGTTACTTTTCAAACAGGGCCTTAGGCCAACTTCACCTACCTATAGCCTCCCACATACACACAGATGTATGCCACCATACATGGGGTCTTGCTAACTTTTACCCTAGGTTGGCCTTAACCCAAAACCCTTGGTATTTGCCTCCCAAGTTGCTGAGATTTGCAGCCACCATGCTTAACTCCCCTCCAGTTTTTGTTACATTGCTGTTGCTTTCATCTGTGCTTGGTGTCTCCAAGGCTAGGGTCTCCTGGTTCACTCTCTCCATCTCTTGTCAGTACTACCTTAAACCCAGGTAGGGAAGAGCAGCAGGTGGGGTCCAGTGGCTTTCTATGGATTTTGTATTGTCCTTCCTGCAGACTCGCAGGCCTGCAGTGTCTTGGGTGATAACATGCATCTTTGAAGCCTTCCCTCGCCAACTTCAGTTCTATTTCCTGAATCACTTTTATGGTCCTTATCTCTCTGTATTCCAAGTTCTGCAAATTCTTTCCCCTTTGGGGAGATTAAAAAATCTTTTGATATTCAGATACAATTACAGCAGGTACACTTGGGGGTTGAACTTCCCCTATGTAGTTGGATGGTATTCTCACAGGAGTGCCCACCTCAGATTTTCCCTCCACCTGCCTTGGTGTCTGATTTGGTCAGCTCGGGAAGCTAGAGAGTCATGACTCAGTGGGATGGAAGTCCGAGGGTGGGGAGATGCTGAAGTGGAGGGCAAGCAGTGGAGCTCTGCTGTCTTTCAGTGGATTGAGTGAGTGTGCAAACGAGAATGTAGAGAGCTGGAGGGCTGGGGTGGGGTTGGTGGCTGTGTGGCAGGCAGCAGGTGCTAGGCCACTTGGAAGCATGATTATGAGTCACAGCTAACTTTGTCTTTCAGACTTGGGCTTATCCCCACACCTCACAGCACTCATGGCAGGTGGACAACCCCTGGGGCACAGTAGCAGCACTGGTGACACTGGCTTCAGCTGTTCCCAAGACTCAGGTAACTTTCATGCTTCATCAGCCTCTCACTTGTATGTTTGACTCAGGCAAGTCAAAAGGTTAGTGGGAGGGACATGTTTCCAAAGAGTATAGGAGCGGGGGCGAGGGGGAGGTAGGGGAGTTGCTGAGGGGGAGTTGGGAGGGGCTTTGGGGGGGGGGGAAGAGTCCAAAGCTTGGCTTTCCAGTTGGTAGTCTTAAGTGTTTCAGCTTTTCTGTGTCTCAGTTTCCTCCTCTAGAAAAACTGGCATCTTTCTGTGCTCCCTGATAAAGCCTTTGTGAAGACTGTGCTTGTTAACTGTAATCATTGGCCATTGTGGCTGTGGGTCCCCTGCCTGGCTTTCAGCTTCCTGGTATCTTAGGCAAGTTCTATAAAGTCTTTCTACATCCCAGAGTTTCCCCATTCAGGGCAGTATTCCTCATATTAAAGAGTAGCTGTGGGGAGTTAAAAGGTGTAATGAGAAGGAAGCGTTCACCTAGCCCAACAAGAAGCTTTATACATACAAAGTGAGCCAGACTTGCCATTGTTATTCCAGGCCTGGCTCCCAGGAAGCAATCCTGTCACCTGTACAGATCCTCCAGCCACCCTCCCTAGCTACAAACCCTCCCTAGCTTACAAACCCATGCTGCCCTATTCCTGGTGCTTGTTGGGTCCATGACCACCACATTCAGGGCTCACCTGATGCCTTTTCAGGCTGTAGGGCCCTGAGTGGGAGCCATGTGGGCAGAGCCCAGGAGTGTCTCTCTAGCCATCCAGCTGCAGCTCCATGTTATGGAAGAGCCAGGGCACACATCTGTGGCTGGTGCTTGTTGAAATGCTGGGTGGTGGAGGGAGAAGTACCAAATCCCAGAACACAAAGCAATATGTTTTATGCTTCCCTTTACGTCTCTCCATATCTGCTCCTGGGAACATTTGACCTGTGTTTCCTGTCCCTGGTGTCAAGGAACCCTGGGGGAAGACTTTGCTGGAGGCAGGACATACCCTGAGAATGTCCCCTTATGTGGCAGATTCAGGAACTACTGGTCACACTGCCCTACATATCTGATTTACTCGTGTGACTGGAATTAGAGCGAAATTTCATGTTCTCCTGGTTATGGCTCATGTTCAGCCAGCTAGTAGATCCAGAAGCACTGTGCCATTCATTCACTGAGTCTTACCTTGGCCAGACTCTGGCCCCTGTTCTGGGGTATAATGGTGAGCTACCTTCATGGAAATTTCAATTTAGAGGGAAAGACGGACAATCTATAAAAGACAATCCATCTCACCAAAGCATGCAGTTAAAATAGCAAGTTGTTTGGCATTGAACTATATCTCAATGTTATTTTTATTTTTTTTATTTATTTTTGTCCATTGTGGGGCCTGAACTCTGGGCCTGGACGCTGTCCCTGAGCTCTTCAGCTTAAAGCTAGCACTCTACCACTGGAGCCACAGTGCCACTTTTGGCTTTTTCTGCTTATGTGGTGCTGAGGAATCAAACCCAGGGCCTCATGCATGCAAGGCAAGCACTGTACCACTGAGCAACCTTCTGAGCCCCGTCAATGTTATTTTTAAAAGGCTATGTACATGCTGAGAGCTGGGAAAGGAAACCAAGTGGTAGGAAACACTCAGTAGGGAGTTATTACCCTGGGGGAGAGGTAGGAAAGGCTTATTGGTAGAGGAGATAGCCAGATACTAAGAGGACAGTGCTGTGGACAGAGTGAAGAGAGGGGGCTCTTGACCACACAGTGAGCATGAGTTTTAGCCCATTTATTAGCTGTATACTTGTTAGTAATGACTTCCAGTGATTTATCCTCTATGAGCCAACCACTATGCTAAAATTTTTATGTATCTAATTATGATCCTGACCCCAGGTCTCTAAGGTCAATTGAGTGTGGATATATAGAAAGATACTGAGGAACTAAATTATCAGCCAATGATGCTAGGTCTGTGCAGTGTGAACCTGCCTGCCTGACCATTGCAGTCAGGAACATACTGTCCGGCTAGGGTTCTGAAGGCACATAAGAAGCTCAAGGCTTTGTTTTCTGATTGCTGAGCAAGGACTTTGATGGATTGATAACTAGGAACAAGGCTGCTCCCAGTGTCAGTCCCAGTGTCAAGTGACAAGTCTCAGAGTGACAAGTCTCATCCCAGCCCTTCCCCCCACACCTTAATTTTTTTGTTATTATAAAAGTGATGTACAGAGTGGTTAGTTACATAAATCAGGTGAACAGTACATTTCTCTTCTAGTTTTTCCCTCCCATCCCCAGCCATAAGATGTATAGTTCATAGTGGTCTAATGAGTACCACTGTTGAATTTGTTCAACTTTTGACCCTCTATTTCTGTGCCCTCCTTACCCTCGCCTAAACAGATAAATTAACAAGACAAAAAGAAAAGAAAAAAACAGCAACAAAGAAAAAAACCTTGTCTCCATTTCCTAGAGTTCATGTCAATAAATAGTATTTTATATGATCAGGTTCATGTAGGGATTGCAACTTTGTATTCCTCTTTTAAGAGTCTTCCTCCCCTCTTGCCTCCATCTGTCTCTTGTCGCTTCACTGATCAATGCAAACTCCTGGAATAGGATGATGGAATGAGTATTTTGGGGCAGCTGCTGCAGGACAGTGAACTGCCCCTGGTTATGTTTTAAAGGACAGGAAAAGGGGGAGTAGTGGGACCTGGTATTGCTAGTTACATGTGCATAGTTTGCTCTTCATCCTAGGGACAGATATGATGCTGCTGGAAGACTATACATCAGAAGACAACCCACCTTCCCACTGCACTTGCCCACCCAAGAGGAGGAGCTCTGTGACATTTGAGGATGAAGTGGAACAGATTAAAGGTTTGTTTCTTGTGACTGATTGCCTCACTGAGGTGTGGAGAGGATTTCAGAGAATTTTCTTGGCTCATCCCCCGCTTCCTCCCCCCACCTAAGAATATATACCAGGGCTCCAGGACTCCATCACCTTTGCCCCAAGGCATCTTACTTAGAGCAAGCAGCACTAAGCCTGGGCCAGAACAGCCATTGAACTACACACACACACACACACACACACACACACACACACACAACCTATTTCACATCCTCCTTTAGAAAATAGCTTGATAAGATGAAACCATTTCTGAGCCCTCCACTGACTTCCCTTTATGATCAATGTGCAATTAGGAATCTGAATGTGCCCCTCTGAGCCCAGTGAGTGACGGTAAGGCCTTCTTGATTATTGCTACTAAATCTGACAATCACAATTGAACCCAGGGAGGAAATGAATCCCTTGCCTACGTTTTCTTACTCCATCTGTTGCCCCTGGGACTTGGGGTCAGTTTCCCACCCAGACATACTGAGTGGATGAGAGGCAGAGTTACCACCCAGTCTACCCAAAAGTTACGTCTCTTTCCCCCTGCATCCCACCAAATGAGGATGGCCACCAGGATGATGGGGCTGTGAATCCAATGGAGGAGCCCAAGGACTTTAAGATGTTAGTTCTGTGGCTCAAGTGGTAGAGCACTAGTCTTAAGCACAAAGAGTCTCAGGGACAGTGCCCAGGCTCTGAGTTCAAACCCCAGGACTGGAAAAAACAAACAGAGTCAAGCCCCTCCCCAGTCTCCCCAGACAAGCCTGCCCCTTTGCACCTATGTCATAGGGTAGTATTTCCAGGATTACCCTCTGCTTGACTCTTTGTAGAGAGGGGTGTGACTTGCTTGATCTCCAGATAATGTAAAGTGGGGAGAAACTGTTCCCCCAGATACTCTGGCACTGAGGGTCATAATAAGACACTGGGTATGGAACTAAAGTCACATCCTTCCTCTCTTCTGCTCACTTTAGTTGCCAGGGCTCTAATTCTGGGTAGGGTGCTTGAACTGTTAATGCACCCTCAACACTTAGGGTTCTTCTCACTTATGGAAACTCTGATATAAAAAGGAGAAAAATATTTGGGTCTGCGGATATTTACAATGATAGGTCCTATACTGAAAGAACAGAGAATTTCTTTTAGAGATGTCAACATTGTAATTATTATTAATAGAAATATGTATTAGGTCTTCAGAGCCAGACCTAAGTATCTTGAGAGAATACTTCAGAATAACTGTGAAGAGGTCTCTTTTTGTCTTTAGGGATAAAAAAATTAAAAAAATTAAATAAAATTATTAGCATTTCCTGGGTAGTTAGTTGGGAAGTCAAGGATTTTTAAAACCTGGGGACTCTGACTTCAAAATCTACATCCATAACCTCAGCTCACTTGCCCTCCCTGGGACAGCAAGTCAACAGTAGCCAGAGTCCTGAGATAGTCGTGGGTACTGGCTCCTCCACTAACCATCTTTCTGCCTTTTTCCCCAGAGGCTGCTAAGAACTCTATTCTTCATGTGAAAGCTGAAGTGCACAAGTCCTTGGACAGTTATGCAGCCAGCTTGGCCAAAGCCATTGAGGCTGAAGCCAAAATCAACTTATTTGGGGAGGAGGCATTGCCAGGGGTCTTGTTCACAGCACGGAATATTCCAGGGGCTGGCTTTGGAGGCCACCGAGGCAGCAGAACTCTTGCAAGTCAGAGGCTGCAGCTGCAGAGCATCAAAGAAGGGAACATTTTAGCTGGAGAAGAGAGATAAGGGCCTCAGGGTGGACTGGGGCTGAAACGAGTTGATAACCTGTGGAGGGATTCCCATTTTTGCCTGTGCTAGGGTCCTGGAACACATCACTACCCTCAAAGGGCCAAACATCTGGTGTGTAGTCACCAGAAGGACTAAAAGTAAGGTCTCCAGCCTCCAACTGCAGTGTCTGCTGGGAGACATAATATGGGCTATGTCTGAGTCCTAGGATTGGAACTAGAGGCATCTGAAGCACATAGAAAGAGCCGATGGCAGTGTGGTTGTGACATTTGGGGAACAAAATTGTACAGGAGGCTGAGAGACCAGGGGTTTAGAAGGAAAACAAGATAAATCATTTCTTCTCAACCTGGTATCCTGTGAGAACAGCCATGCCCCATCATCTGAGGCAAAACCTCCTTGCTGCATCTCACAGGACAGCCTGACACCTAACACTGCAAGGTCATTCCCAGGACTCATGGTTAATACAAGCAGTGTAAGGCCATCCACATTGGACTAATTGGTCCAGAAACAGAGCCCTACAGACAGACTTCCTACCCCTCCTATCCTGGCTATGATGCCCACTACTGGTACCAGTTGTGGGAAGCTCACAGGTTTCCCAGGACAGGGTCCACTCTGCCTACCCCCTCATCCACAGAATCTTTGTCATTTCAAAAGAAGGAAGAAACCACTATCAAAGACGTGAGGGTCAGGGACCAGATGTTTCATTATCGGAATTAAAAAAAAAATTGACCAGGATACATCAGTCTTGCTGTTACTGGGGGGAATCCTTTACACAGGCAAGTTTTAGTGGATAGGTTCTATGAACTTTTTTGAGTGACCAGTAAAAATAGCTAGCCTCAGTTCCATAGGGAACCACAGGAACAACAGTTACTGTGACCGCAACCTGAGGGCAGAAGATGGACCTGAATTCTTGGCTTACCTCAGCTTTTACACATATTACTTGGGACATCCTGTCACCTCTCCAGGCCATTTACAAAATGAGGAAAGGAAGTGTAAAGTTGGACTAAATGGTCTCTAAGATCATTTCTGGCTCTTATTGTGAGGTTTTCTGAATTTGTAAATTAGAGATAGGAAAAAAAAGGAAAATGGGCCCCTGGATGAGTGTTCCCAATGGACATATGATGTGCTGTCAGCCCACCAGGTCCTTGGTGGTGGCCTTGTGCCACATGACTGTTTATAGATCCCAGCCTTAACTGGATCTCAGCTCTGAGACATGAGATGCGTGAGTGGAGGAAAAGGTTGTTACCCCAGAGGGGGGATTTGTATACTTAGGCCATTCCCCTTCTCTCTCAGAACAGTTGAAGTTTGGACTTAGAGTAGTTGCAGAGGTATCTTAGGAAGCCGTTGAATCTGTTCCCATGCTACCCTTCATCTGGCTGGTCAAATAAGCAAAGTCTAGACTCTCCTTGCCTTGGTTAGAATTCTAAGGAGAACTGGCAATGTCTGCTGCTAGGTGGCTATTCTGGAAAGTAGATTACTTTGTAGGGGTTTCTCCGGGTGCTAGCTGACCCCTAGTGAGGCAGCATCTTTTTGCTATGTGTTCCTGTCTGCATGAGACCTGGGGTCTGGTGCCTTTGTCATCAATTTAACACCTATTGTGTACCAAGGCCTGGCAGGGGTTCTGGGTAGGACTGGGAAGCAGCAGCGTCCAGGTTCACCTGTGGTGTCTGTGGCTGCTGTGCATGTCTCAATAGAAGGGAGCCAATCCTAGGTGTGAGGGTGAATTATATATATATAATCTTTATTTTTTTTAAGCACTTGTCCAGATTCTGAAGGGACAGAATCAATATACACAGAAGTGGATCATGGAAGAGACCTTTACTGGTGGGATGGTGACTGGCTTTTTAGTACACTGGCATGGTACGAATGCCTCTGATTCAGTGGGTTAAGCTCTGCGGGAGAATTCTGAGACCTCCAAAGCCTCATTGGCTAATCCCAGAATAGCTGTGATACAACAGGGTTTAAACTAACTAAAAATACTGCATTTCACTGTTTCCCTTTTCTTATTGAGGTACATTTATTCATCTACCAGAAGTGGCCTATTTATTGTGGACAAAGTGCCAAGCTGGGCACATGGGGCAAATAAAATATTAACGTGTCTTCATTCTAACTTAGAAAGGAGAAATACCTAAGAGATACTGATTGTGAAGTCAGGTAGTGGTCATAGAAAGAGCCGTGCCTCCAGAGGGAGGTTGGTTTTTACAACTAGGCAGTCCTGTGAAGTAGGTGACAGTTTGAGGTTAGTCATGGAGGATTAGTAACCAGAGCCAAAATTTGCATATTCAGGAGTTAAAAATTGCCTAGTTGAACTAGAGAGGGAGTTGTGTTGTGGGGTGAGGGAAATCCCACATATCCTCTGGGGCCTTTGAGGATACCTGCGTTTAGTGCACAGAGCTCAGCACCTCAAACTAAACTCAGGGGCAGTGGCAGGCCTGAGGCCTCCCCAAGGCTTCCAGGGACAGTGGCGGGTGGGACATTTGGCCATTCCTTTGCTTAAATATCTTGCTTTGTACAGAACTGTTTTTAAGGCTGTTGCACATCTCTGCCTCTGTTACAGAGATTTTGCCATGACCCCATCCTTGTGCTGTGTCAGCTGTTGGGCTGCATTGGATTCCTCACTACAGAGCACACAGCTCAGTACCCTGGCCAGACTGGAGCTCAGGACCTTACATACTAGGTGGCAGAGCATGGGTGTAAAGAGCAAAAATAGGCTTGTTAGCCGTTGTTCAAAAGCTCTTACTTTGAAACAAGCCATGATTGCACTCCTCAGCCCTGACAATTCTTCTAATATGTGAGACCCACCCCCTGTCTAAGTTAATAGGTACTGCCTCTACTCAGATGTACAAACATAAGCAAATCACCACTACTGGGCAACAGGGATTAGAATTGAGACAATGGCCACCTGGTGCTTGTATTCTTTATTCTCTTTCGCAGAGCTGCTGTGTGCAGATGGAATGTAGAGGAAATAGTGCCATGTGAGTATGGCTGTTCACAGTTCAGACCCTATGCTGCTGCTTCTTAGCTGGGTGTTTTGGGGCAAGTTACTCAGTATTCCTGCATAGGAATTCAGGAGGCTGCCTTTGTAGGGAAGAATCTGTAAGCATCTAGCACAGTACCTGGGGTACAGGTAAAAATGAGCTAGTGGCTTCTCAGTGGAACTGTGAGGGGGTACAGTCATTACTGTTTTACAAGGATCTCTAACAAGAAGTGTTATACTAGATTAGAAGTATTTAGAGTTGTTGCCATGGGAATTGTCATTTTCTGTGTAGCACAGAAAGAGTTCTGGGAAACAATGTGGAAGGGAAGGGGAGGTAGTAGAAAGGAGAGAGGATAGGCTGGGTAACAGCTGAATACATGCCGTCTGTCCAAGCACAAAATGAACATTCCTGTTAGAATGTCTTTCCTCCATGCTCACACTCACTTTATACGATGATAAAGTATTTATAAATTGCCTTGAATGGCTATTAAGGAAAATGTGCAGAATCCCAAATCCACAACATAACTCAGTTTTGATTTCCTTTTACTAAGACGTACCTTTAGGTGCTAAGGACAGCTATGGTTATAGCTCTTGGCTCACAGAACCATGAAGCCTTCCAAGAGTCTGAGGGCAGAAATAGGGTATACCCTATTACTGGCAATGTATATATGTAGAGTCCAGAGGAAGCCTGTGCGAGAGAAAGGGGAAATAAACCTTCACTTGACACAGAAATGTGGCTATAACCAGCCACAAATGACAACAAGCAGAAGTCTGGTGCTGCTCTTATGGTTCAAGTAGAGGAGACACAAAAGAATCCAGGAGGACCAAGTGAAGTTGACCAAGGTCTCAAAGTGAGTTCACAGGTAAACTCTGGTCTTTCATATTGACCTGAGAGAAGAAAAGAGCCACTTAAAAGCTCCAGGACACAACAGGCCATGAAGGAAAGTGATTACCTTGCTGGAAAGAATGCAGAACACAAACTCAAATCTGTACAAAATTACAAAGAGCACAATTTTGGTCTGTTATTTTTAGAATGTAACACACAAAGCTGTGTTCATTTCCCCCTGAAAGCATTTTCCACAGATGTATTAGCCACTTAAGAATTAGTAACCCTTTGGGCTGGGAAGGTGACTCAGGCATGCCTTGCATGCCTGAGGCCCTGGGTTTGATTCCTCAGCACCACATAAGCAAAAGAAAAAAAGCTGGAAGTGACGCTGTGGCTCAAGTGGTAGAGCGCTAGCCTTGAGCTGGAGAGCTGAGGGACAGCGCCCAGGCCCAGAGTTCAGGCCCCACAACCGCCCCCCCCCAAAAAAAAGAAATTAGTAGCCATTTCTGTTTTTGACTTTTTGACACCATTTTGAAATAGCACCAGTTAAGTCAGCCTTAGCAGGCAATAGCACAAGAGAATAGCAATAGCACAACAGAAGTCAGTCCTCCCAGGGGAAAAGGGTAGTCCTGGAGGATCATAGGCTGGGTGGACAAGATTATGCTGAGTACAGTAGGAAGCCTGTGTTCCTGAAGTGGGTCTGCTAATGTGTGATGTGGACGAGCTGTGTTGATAATAGACATGGAGAGGCAGAAGTGGCTCAAACACACACTTCAAAGAAAAAACTCAAGCTAATCCTGAAAATATATTTACCATTTTTTGGATGTTTTTAGGAGATCAAAAATGGTTGGGATTATTAGAAATCAATATTTATAAATAAGTATATTTAGAGAAGTTTTGTTTACCTGATTAAATGTATTTGGTATTTGTATAGTTGTAAAAATTGTTAATTTATACTTGGACTTGTGGTCTGTGGATGTTTCTGGCACCTCTCCCTTTTCTGCAGCCTATCTTCAATCTTTCTATAAGCTAGTAAAGATTAAGGACAGATTATTACCAATTGGGCTTTCTATATTAAAGTTGCTTGTTACAGCCGTTCATGCTATACCAAGTTCATAAACTCCCTCAAGTCAATTAAATTCATGAACTTTTGTTAAATGACTGGTTTGCATCATGTACATAAAACATCCTAAATCCAAAGTTTTCAGTGGAGTATTAATGAACGTTACTGATCTGCCATTTATCAACTAATCAAAAGAATCATAATCAAAGTCAAAGAGGCTGAGTGGTAGATTACAACATGAAGACACAACCAGGGCAGGAAAACCCACCACCTTCTTCTGACCCCTTTACCCACCATAATTGAAGTCACCTTCCATTTTCCTGCTCACCTAAGTTTTAGAGGTCTGTTCGATGTACCTTCAGTCCCTT